TGCACGGGCATCGGAGAAGGCATTAGTAATCTGAGAAGGTTCTCACTCAGCACTCTCACATCACACCACGCAGGTGGCCGCTACTCCAAGCACAATTAAGAATCTAGCTGTGGGTACAAGTGGTTCACCAGAATCACTAATAAATATTTCATGAATGAAAAACATGCATGGGTTGCTCTGATGCTGAACTTTTCTCCCAGAAACCTAAAGCAGAGATGAGTCTTTGTTTAGTTTGTTTCCCTGTAATACAAAACATCATTATTTCTGTGGCATGGATGGTGAGACAAGGCAAAGTAAAAATTCAAAACATCATAGAATTCTTTCATTCATTGCCCAATTATTATTGAGCATGTACTATATGCCAGATACTGTTCTAGGGGCTTGGGATACATCTTGTGGATGCAAAAAACCATTCAAACCTGTAGAGAATTTTTATAAGATTTTATTGGGGGTAATCTGACAACAATCGCCAGGAAGCAAGCTCTCAAATGCTCTAGAGAATAAAGGTTTTGCAGTTTATGAATTTGAAATTCAGGAGGGAACATAAGGAAGGTGGGAGAAAGTGAGTGGGGATTGGATTACAGATTTAACAAGATTGTGTGCTCTCTTGAGGGTGGTTACACCTTCCAGGGTATTATTTCTGGCATTTCAAAGGTGTGATAAACCAGATGCACAAGAACAATGGACAGGGCCGGCTGAACACCTTTCACTAGGGTAGTTATAAGCCTGGGGCATGACTACCCACCATGCTCTGCCCAGTCAGATCACCCTTTGAGGTTACTTTCCTTAGAATTGACTTTTTAGTCCACAATCTGAACAAAACAAGCACAGATAACTGCCCTCAGAAAGCTTCTATTCTGGCTAGGAGAGCCAGACAAGAAATAAACATAATGAGCTCATTCTATCGTGATATAGAAAGCAAATACTATGAAATAAAGAAAAGAGTAGAGCAGACTTAGGAGGCTGAGAGTGAGGAAACAGGTTGCAATATTTTTAGGAGAAATTAAGATTTGAGAATTTCTGGCCTGGCCGGTATGACTCAGTGGTGAGAGTGTCGGCCCACGGACTAAAGGGGGTCTTTGGCTCTGGCCTGGTAGCTCAGTTGGTTAGAGCATCGTCCCTAGACACCAAAGTTGTGGGTTTGATGCCCGGTCAGGGCACATACAAGAATCAACCAATGAATGCATCAATGAGTGGAACAACAAATTAATCTTTCTCTCTCCCTCCCGCTTGTTAAAATAAATCAATACATAAAAATATTTTAAAAAAAAAGATTTGAGATTTGGCAAAAGCTTGGAAGAGCTAGCCAAGGAACTACCTGGGTGTTGAGGCGCCCAGCAGAGGGAATGACCGAGGTAAAGACCCCATGACTGAACTGTGGGGTCAGCATGAGGCCAGAGTTGTTGGAGAGAAGCCCAAATGGGGCAGAATAGCGATGGGGTCTGAGAAGGGGAGAAGCCGCACCACACGGGACCTAATGGGGACTAACCATGATGGAAACTCCCCCTGCAGGACCTGGAGCAGAGGACAGGCTGCTGGGTTGAACTAGAAGATCTACAATTCAGAGCTCAGCTCCGCTGGGCCTGTGTGGGCTTGTTCAGTGGTGTGGCTGCTGCTGGACCCTCCAGCGAGATTCAGGGCAGAACAGAGTCTGCTTCCCCAAATCTCCACAGAGACTGCCCCACCCTCTCCTATGCCCCAGGCACGCTGGGCCCAGGAACAGCCCATTCCCGCCCCAGGCGAGCATGTAAATGAGGCTTTGTCCCCTTATAAGGGGCAGGTCACCACCCACTACCCCAGCCATCCTGCTCCGGCCTAGAATCCTTCAGTACCTTCCACGTGGCGCGGGGGATACCCATTCTTCTGCCCTCCTTCCAAGACCAGCCCTGCAGGTAAGCTCCCTTAACAAGCTGCTATCCTTGGCCTTGCCAGCCTCTTTGGTCTCTCAGCCCCGGGATTTACCTCGGAGCTTGGGGACGGCTTTGGGTGCTGTCCTCCCTCCATTTTAGCACCACGCTGGATTATTTCCCAAGATCAGGCCCAGGTGTATCTTCGGGAATCGGATCTTTTGTGGTCTCTTGTCCTCACACGAGGGCTCTGAGCTGGGTGCCGCTGTTCCTGATGAGGGCAACAGTGAAGAGACAAAAAGAACCCGTAATCTTCAAGAAGATTTCTCTAGGACAGAATTGTTTTAGAATTGACCCTTTTGTTTAACATAAGAAAAACTTTAAAGCGCTTGCTTTCTCCCCTTCCCCATTAAAAAAAACCCCAATTTATGACTTGACTAGTAATACCTCACAGATAGACTACCAGAAATAGACCAGTAGTCCAATAAAGTTAAATTTACGAACTTGCTGAGGCCGGGGGGGCCATGCAGGAGAGGGATGGGGGGCCTCGTGGAAAGGGGAGTAGGGAGCATTGCTTACAGGGTGGAAGCTCATGCTGGGTGATTATGAGGGAAGAGCAGGCCAGCTCTGCGTTGGGTGCTGTCCTGAGATGGGGCAGTTTAGGAACTGGGTGTCTGGGCAATCTCTGGGAGGTGGGAGGGAGGAATGAAGTGGGTCTGGGGAAGTCACTCATAAAAAAGCTGCAATTACTCAAAAGGGACTGTTAGTCCTTCTGCAGCCGTTGGTGTGGCCTTGAGAGAAACATTGTTTTCTGTCCACTTTGTTACTGTCCTGGTTTCAGTTGGGTACATTGTGGTCTGATTATCAGTGGGGTGGATTTTCACTCTCAAGGTAGAGACTAGAGAAAAGCAAATTTAAGGGCTTATGGAAACCTGTCTGTGAAAGCTCAGGATTTATTTTTATTTACTTTTTTAGGACTGTTATTTTTCTTTTTTAAATCCTTATTGTTGAAAGTATTACATATGTCCGTCCCCCTTTATCCCCCGCATTAGCCCCCTCCAACCCACCCGTCCCCCGTCCTCCGCCCCAGGCCCTCACCACCCTATTGTCTGTCTCCCTGGGCCATGCATATATGTATACAAGGTCTTTGGTTGATTACCCCACCCTCCCCTGCCTTCCCTCTGAGATTCCAAACTCTCTTCCATGCTTCCATGTCTCTGGATCCACTCCGTTAAGAAGCTCAGGACTTAATATGCAGCATCGTTTTAAATATAAATTAGAAGCTGGGATATTTTGGACATCTTTTGTTCATTATCTACTAAGTATTAACTGCGTCGTGAAGCCCAGTGATCAGGGTTTTACATGGACTCATTTAATTTTCGCAACCACCTTTGGGGTAGGTATTGTAAAAATATTTGTTTAAGCTTATTTTTAGAGATCAGGCAGGAGCACTAAGGGGTAAGTTAACCTGCTCAAAGACAAATTGCTAGGAATAGGAGTTATTGTGTTTATTACTAGGCTCCAGGCCCTAAGCTCAGTGGTCCCCACGCTTGTTTTATAATCCTCACAGCAACCTTACGAGGTAGCGCCTATTACCATCCCCTTCGTGAGATGGGACAACTGAGGCTCAGAGAAAACGGGTATCTAGCCTAGATACCTACAGCTAGTAATTGGAAGAGCCAGTAAGTGGGAAAGTGAATTTAAGCAGATCTCAAATCCCCGCTGCCTCATCGCCACTCCACGGAACCGGCCTCTGCTAGGAAGTACTCCCCGGGGCCAGCCTCTGGAAATTTGGACTTCGGTTCCGAAGTGGAGCCTTGGGGCAGTAGAGGGTGGGGCCCACCTGGCGGAGCCCGGGCCCCGCCCCTCTGGGCGGAG